CACAATATATTAAAGGTCCCCTATTATACTGTTTTTCATCAATATATTACAGGTCTCAGATATATCCAGAGCCTGTCTCTGATTGGCTGAAACACCAAACAGATTATTGCAGCATTACCCATAATCCCCTCTGTTTCAGCCCTGTTTCCAAAGTGTTGATTCTCTCTCATCATAAAGTGGCCAAAATCTGATCAGCTCATTTTTAGACAGGTTTTTACGTATTTAAATCAGGACAAAAAGAGAGAGAATCTTTGTTCCTGAAACTTTCAGAGTCTCTTCACACAGAGGGGACACATGTCAAATTGTGCATAATAGGTGACCTTTAAGTCAGTTTGCAGAGACTTGTGTGGATACATCCTCCATATTTAGTTCTTATTCCAGTTGAATAAGTCATACAATGACAAGGGTTTGTAAAACCAGTGCTGGTACACAGTACAAATCTTATTATCATTGCATTTTGGGGTTAGGGTTAAAGGTCAGAATGTGTTCGTCTGCTTTACCAATAATCTCACATTTTAGTGACATCACGCATACTATCAAGGCAGCTACAGAAGAAAGAGTCAAATAGAAAGAGTCTGGATCTTGACTGGAATAGTAATGGTCACCTAGTCTCCACTCAAAAAGACCACTGTCTTTGTTATGATATGTACAAGAAGCTCCATAATTCCTGTTCTGTGTAGTGTTGACAAGTACTATAATCACACAGGTATGACAAAAATGGTGAATTAACAGTTAAAACACACAAACAAGACACCACTCTTCAATAATGTGCGGTTGCAGGCCAATACAAAAGCAGGGTCTCGACAAAATAGTGCCTTATGCTAATGCGAACCAGCTATTTGTCTTCTTTTGTCCCAAGAAAACAGACAAATAATCCCAGTAATCATGTAATGTTAGCACAGAAGTTGTGATCAGGTGCTTAAAGAGGTGGCTATGAGCCAAAACACGTAATAGCCCTTATCTGTGCCTAGTTTGTATTCTTACTCAAGCATAAAAGCTGCACAGGGGGAAAGTCTAGTGTCTAACACACACACACACACACACACACACACACACACACACACACACACACACACACACACACACACACACACAGTCTCTTTCTCAAAGACATACAAGGACAGTAACACACAGAAACCAAAGACCTACTGTTGCTCATTTTCTGTGAAGTGAAGATCCAGTTTCAGCTGAAAGTCCACCTCGCTCAGGGCTTCCTCCACCTGCAAAACATTAGAACATTTGTTAATGTCTCAACATGATCGTACACATGCAACATGGACCGGAGAAGAATAAAGAATGAAACCATCATCACATTATGTCCTTAAAATGTCAAGCACTGCTATAAGGATGCATCCTGTTTTAGCTTGAATGACAGTTTGTGCGTTATTTGTGAGCTTCTGACAGGAAGTGCTCAGGATTGCATGGAAAACAGTCAAAGTAATCAGGGCTGTTAATGAGTTATGATTGGCTGAATTTGAACTCCAATGCTCACTGACTTATCTAGAACATAGACTCTCTATAACGATGATTCAAACAAACATTATCTCCTCATTTGGTGTTTTTATTTTCATGTATTGATATGTCCAATACAATGAGAGGTTGTTAACCCTCAGATGCACTTAGAGTGACTGGACCCTCTCTTCCAGAAGTGTGTCAAAAAGGACCCGTATTAGAATAATATGTGTTTTTATGCCATTTTTGTCATTTTGGTTAGAAAAAATCACTTGTATTATATTTAGTATTATATTTTGGTTCATACTAGAAATATTTTATATAACATTTTTCACTATTTAGAATTTTAGAATTATTTTTACATTTTGAAAAAAAACGTTTAGAACAAATTGATGCAAAGATCTCCGCTATTCTGAGACCCTCACAGTATTCCAGTCCCTTTTCAAAACTCATCTCTTTACATTACATGTCACTTGTTAGACGCTTTTATCCAAAGCGATTTACATACTCAATACTGTGGATAATCCCCACAGGAGCAATTTGGGGTGAAGTGTCTCAGGGACACAACGACATGCTGACTGCAGTGGGGTTTGAACCTGTGACCCCCTGATCCCAACACCAAGGCTGTGCCACATGCCTCCCATCTCTTCTCCTCTTGTCTATTCATAGCCCACCCCCCATCAATCCATGCCGGTTGGTCAAGTTTGATAGTCCTATACCCCCCCCCCACCCTAACCTTCCCTTATATTGTAAAGCGATTTTGAGTCCTTGAAAAGCCATGTACAAATATCATGTATTATTATTATACTGACAGGTATCAGATATTGCTGTGTCACTTGTGATGTAGTCTGTGTGTTCCACAGTAAATGTATTCCTGACAGCAACAGGTGATAAGAATAAAGGGTTCCAAGAGGATCCCATAGAAAATGCATGCGTGTCGTTTTTGACCCACTTATGGAAGCTTGGGGTAGAAATACAAAAACTACAATTTCTTAAAATGTCAATTAAAAATTTGAATGGCATGATATCCAAAACATGTTTTTTGAGGAATAGCTGGCATATGAAATGATAAAAAAATGTAATTACAAAGATACTTCAAGAAAACCACCTGACCGGGTCCAAAAAGACCCACTTATGCATCTAAGGGTTAATTCAACAGTCCCTCGATCAACCTTAGCGATGGTCTATGTGCAGTCATATCATCCTGCAGAAATAAGTATTTGTCAGGGATCCTGAGCACACTGTCGCTGTTCTTTTGTTCATTAATGAGTGTCTCGCTGCATATCATCCCTTACATGTTGCATGGCTGTGAAGGTTGTGAACTGAATCTATAAAGAGGACCTCTGATCCCAAGTGACAAACAAGGATATTATGAACATGTAAATGCATGAAAAATATGACTGCTTTACTGCATAGAGCCTCATGCAATGCTGATTTTGTTCTTTTCAACAACATGTTTATGTTCTCCGTGTGATCTACAAACTGTATTCATGCATTTCTTAAACTCTGACGTAGGTTGAACAGAACTGCTCTCATGTTCAAAGAGCCATAGAATACTGTGGATGCTGATGGAAATACCATATTTGAATTTGAAAGAATAAAAAGGTGCGAGCAAACTACAAAGGCAGTGGCGTCTTTGAAGATTGGATATGCAGCATTTCTGATTATAATAAAGGTTATTCGCAGTTCTTTCTCGTAACATCCGCAAACACATACTAACTGTACGCCAGACATAGGAAATCAGTTATGTTGGTAATTGATGTTCTGATTGATTGAGCATACATACGGGTGTACACAGGGGAAATGGGGCGGCTATTTCTGTCTGTGCTATCTGTGGCTGTGAGCGGCAGATAACCTCCGGAAGGTTAATGAGCGGCGAGCCTCCGGGAGAGCTTACAGCTGAAATCTGATATGCCCTGAATCTCCTCTGTCCCCACACCTCCAGATCCACGTCTATGTTTAATGAAATATTCTAAAATTAGGAGCCAGGCAGACAGAATATTGTCATTCTGATCGGAGCAGGGATGTTTCCACAGACATCCGACTGCAGAGATATGTCAGAGAGTGGCTGAGAGATGGTGCCAATGTCAATGTGTGAGCTATGCCTGTCATATGGATGATTAGCTTTTTGCGGGGGCCATTTTATCTCCTCAGCTCGGGCCGTGTCTAATCGCTGTCACCGCTGATCAATTCGAGCTCCGGTGGCTCCTGACAACAAAAACAGGCGGAGTGAATTTTCAGGTCGCGCCCACGGTGAAAACGTAAAGGACAGGACATCAATAACTGTCTGGCAGGTTTACACGCCTGATCATTTAGACGCAACACGGGGGCAACGGGGGACATTTAAATGTGTCCGTCAATTAAATCACATCAAATCCAAGTTGTTAAACTCAATGATCCTCATAACGTTTCGGTGTTTAGATCAGTTAGGGCTTTAGAAAAATAAACTTGACAGCTACGAATCAGGGTTGTGTATTGTTGGTCGTCATGGCCAGCTCAAGTCCTTGCACTATTGTTATTAACTTTTCAAAATCACTGATAATGCTAGGTAAAAAGAAAAAAGTCCAACTAGGTACAATCAACTGTTATATAAGGAAGGGGTGGGACTGAGCCTCAGCGGAAATTGTCTCCAGCACGGAACGGAGAATCGGTACAGTCTTTGACCTCACGCTACACTGATAATTTTTTGTTTATTTGTTTATTTAATTTTATGGAAGAAGTAAACAAATCCGCCAGAGGAAGGCAAAGACATTTGGACTGTTTTTAACGTGAGTCAAGAAGCGGATCCCTGTTAATGTGGCACAGTTTTAAATATCCTACAAGAATGAGCCACGACAGATGGTTTGAGGTCCAAACACATTTATTGAAATCTAGTCAAGTGTCCATTCAGATGTATCGCCAATATATGCTCCAATTGGAGGCGTATGGCGCAGTGGGTTGTGCGTTGGTGTTCTGATCAGGGGGAGAAGAGATGGGAGGCCTGTGGCACAGCCTTGGTGTTGGGATCAGGGGGTCACAGGTTCCAACCCCACTGTGTCCCTGAGACATTTCACCCCAAATTGCTCCTGTGGGGATTGTCCACAGTATTGAGTATGTAAGTCGCTTTGGATAAAAGCGTCTAACAAGTGACATGTCATGTAATGTAATATGCCGAATTTCTGGAGAACAGGCAAAAGAAATCCCAAATATTAGGTTTTTTTCGTCCACTATTGTTGAATAATTAGCAGTTTTTTTACTATTGTTGTAGACAGCTCATTGCGGCCAACGATTGCGTAATTAAAAGAGCGGCAATTGAAACTCAATCAAGGATAAACAATGTAAACTATAGTTTGTTTTATGAATTAATGACGGTATTGGTACACCAGATTTTCATGGATCAATGAGGAAAGTGCTTTTGTTTTTCGCTTTTGCCTTGTCAGAAGCTTCAGTGGACGTTAAAGCCTCAAACTTCATAATTCATTAAAAAAATTGTGTCCTTTACACAAACAATGTCACGTTTTGTAGGTTTCTAAGACTGCTTCCCTTCGAGGATGTCTTTCAGGCTGTAGGGTTTCACTGTTCACCAAATGATTATCTATATTTGCTTCAGTTGCTGCACTTTTAATAAGAGAAGGTTTTGGCCATGTTTGTGAAACAATCAATAGTTCTCAGTCTGGGAGTCAGGCTCTGATCCCCTGGCAGAGGTTTGAAAGATGAATCTGACGGGTTTCAAGATGATGAATGGGATGGAAAAAGAGAAAAAACATATTCCTGCTACACTCTTTTGTGTATTCAGTTTTTTCTGGTAACCCTGTTTTTTTCAGACTTCTGAGTAGACTAAAATCGGTCAATGGAGAAACACTCTTGGGTCGAACATCTCACAGTAAAACTGAAAAAAGTATCACTTTAGTTGCATTTAGAATAACATTCAAGAGGTTAACAGTGTACAGCGGAGTAATGCAATTCAATACATTGACTTACAAGTTTTCAACTTAAGTTTGCCATACTCAAACTTTTCTTGAGTATTGCAATTTGTGCTACTTTAAATGTCTACTACACGTCATTTTGAAGGTTAATATTGTACTTTTTAAACCCCTATATTTGACTGCTTAGATTAGATATTAAGATCATCAATTAAAGACATGAACTAATAAATGATATATATTTTCAAAGATTAAAATATCCAGCTTCAGATAAGATTATATAAATGATATTACAAATAATATGAATTAGCCCCATCTGTAACAGCTTAACATTAAACATTAAAGCTTTGCTTAAAATGTATCAATAAGTCACATCGAGGAACAATATTGATATATACTTTTACTTTATTAGTATTTTATACGGAAGCTGTTTACACTGCAGTAAAACCATTATTCAGCATGGTTACATTTCTTCTGTTATATTTCTGCTTGAATTGGCTTAAATATCTCTGTCATTAAAAGTATTGTGTGTCTGTGTGTGTGTGTGTGTGTGTGTGTGTGTGTGTGTGTGTGTGTGTGTGTGTGTACAGAAAATGTCACCATGACTCACCCGTTCTCCGTCTAACAGCAGGTGGACTTTGAAGATCATACAGTCGTTCACTGTAATCTCCTCGTTCCTGTAAAGGATCTGAAATATCCGGCTGAACACGGTGCCGTCGTAAACCCCCGCCGAGCTGAAGCTGCATTCTCCTGATGGAGAAACAACAACAACATGCTATCAACTATCAACACAAACAGATACAGTATCAATAATGCACTGCAGCAGCTTTTACACTGCAAATAATACACATTTCAAAACTCCATTTCCGATTAGACTCTGATTTGGCATCACTTGATATTTACAGTATTTGAGGTGTGAGTTTGTGCCAAGATTCAAAAAGGCACAATGGGGTTTTACAATTGTTTGACCTGACATTTGCGAATGTTTACTGGGATTGGTGAGGGATCTGAGTGTTCAGATATTGGAACAGCTGCTAAGATGTCAGCACATGTTTATTAGTATTACAGAATTAGCTGGATTTGCTGTAAATCTCAATTCATTTATAAGCTTTTTAACTGCCCAAGTTTTTAATTCCACAGGTACGAAGCGTTGCCCAATTAATATAGTTTATTTTGGCCAGTGTGAAATCTGTCAATCAACATTAGAGCGGACCCAACAACTGGATCACGACCAACTGAAAAGGTGGGGGGGGTGTTGGAACGATTTTAAGCAGATTCTCATGGGGTTCGTTTGTGAGGAGAAACTATAGCATTTAATGATAACAGTCTGAGATTTGAGCATTATTTCAAAACCTAAACTACCAAACGTGGGTTTTTCCATAATGAAGGTCAACAGTCAACATCCTGTTTCCAGTCAAAAGCCTTAATTTACAAAAGATCTTTGAAGAAAGAGAAATACACACACGAGAAGTTTGCTGCAGAAGCTTGTGACTCATCGCAATTCGATTTGTTCCTGATAATGCAGGATGACAATTGCCAAAACTGTCCAATCAATGGGGGACCTGGCAGTCTGTTTCACTGCAGTGTAAAGCCTCTTGGATCGTTTGTAAAAATGCAGTTCAAACAGGAACCAGAGAAGAAATAACAAACAATAATGGGTACCACTTTACAATAAGACTACCCTTATAAAGGATTCATAAAGAGTTTATAATTAGGTTATGAATAAGGTTGTAAATAAGGGTAGTCTTATTGTAAAGTGGTACCCAATAATGTGTAGTTGTTCACTTGTTCCGACAGGAGTGAAAGCCTTCCTAAACACTTAGTAGATCAGACACCATTATACAGAATGAACAAAGATCTTTCTTTGTTCATGTTTTGTAGTAGCCTTAGTGTAAAACAGTTTTATTGAATAAGAATTGCATTTGATGATACTTAATAATTCTATTTAAATATCACCTACATATTTTTTAAATAAAAGGTAAGAATAGCAAGTAAAAACAACCTGAAAAGCCAAACATCTTTTACTGGAGATTTGTACGGTAATAAGATGCAAATGGATCTTAAATCAAATCTACTTTGCAATAGTTAGCAGTAACAAACACTTCTTAACTGTAAGTAGATGCTACTTGAAATATACGTTGTTACATTTACTTAGGTTATCTGAGTGCAATTAGTAAGTAAACCTTACTCCCCATTGTTATCAGTGTACATCTATCTGCTTATGAATGGTCCAACCTATGCATTTCAAAGTCAAAGAAACCTTGAACAAATATGAAGAAGCAGCTACAGTAGGGTTAACTTAGGCCACGTTTACACGGAGACGAAACGGGTTGTATCCACTACAGTTCTCTGTCGTATGGACGGTTCTTTGACACGAGGCCGTAAAGGAACCGCGGAGATGGAGCCCTCAAACGATAACGGCCCCCAAGGTGGGTAGGTCTGCGGACGAAACGCTCTGGGGGGCCAAACGGCTCCGTGTGTACGCCCTATACGATCAATTCCTGATAACGCCATAGCCCCACCTCTCCCCACCTCTGCTGCTTACCCCCGCGTCTCCCGCTTCATTGCTGATGTGTTTTGCCAACAACAACAATGGAGGATCACAGGGTTGCGTTCGTGCCCCAGACGCTACTGACCATGATACAGATGTTATCTACAAAATCTACAGCTCCTCTACCACAACCATCAGCAACAAGTGGACATGGAGAACAACATGAATGACATGTTGCTAAATCCACCGCGGAGAATAGACAGAAGGGCAACCAGGCAACCATGGCAACCATGCTCGGGGGTCTTCTTCGCTGCTTTTGGTGTATTTTGTGGCGGAAGTACAGCGCCACTTACAGGTCCGGCATATGTACTACAGCGGGTCGAGCGGTCTCGTGTGGACGGAGACGTTTCTTGAGCCGATTCCGTGTGGACGGAAGGCTTTTTTGATATCGACTAATGTTCGTTTTCGTCTCCATGTAAACGTGGCCTTAGCTTAGCTTAGCATAGGCTATAGAAGCAAGGGGGAATCAGATACATGTTTTAAATGTTTAACAACGGCCATGTCCCAGTTCTATAGTTTCCGACATAGTGTCTGTTTGTTCGTTGCTACTGACCCATTGCCCCCCGCTGTGATCAGTGAGAGGTCTCTGAGAGACCCCCTGCTGAGTGTGTGCTCTTTCCAGATAAGTTCTTACTCTCCCTCTCTCCACAGGCCTCCCCCTGATAATGCTGTCACTCCTCGCAGCATCAAGCTTCCCTGGGTGTCGGGAGGATGTTTGAGAGCGTGACTGATGTCAAAGACTTGTCGTATGTTTGACAGAGGCAGTGTAATCCCTCAGGGTCTGTATTGTGTCTGTGTTAGTGCTGTTCCCCTCAAAATGTCTGTCTTCACAGCAGGAGAGGACTCTTTAAAGTAGAGACACTACATACTGACATACACCTGCACATCAGCAGGAGAGGACTCTTTAAAGTAGAGACACTACATACTGATATACACCTGAACATCAGCAGGAGAGGACTCTTTAAAGTAGAGACACTACATACTGATATACACCTGAACATCAGCAGGAGAGGACTCTTTAAAGTAGAGACACTACATACTGATATACACCTGCAGATCAGCAGGAGGGGACTCTTTAAAGTAGAGACACTACATACTGATATACACCTGAACATCAGCAGGAGAGGACTCTTTAAAGTAGAGACACTAAATACTGATATACACCTGAACATCAGCAGGAGAGGACTCTTTAAA